GGGGTCTGCTTCTCCCTCTGACCCTCCCCCGTCTCATGCTCTCTGTCTCTCATTCTCTCTCTCTCAAATAAATAAATAAAATCTTAAAAACAAAACAAAACAAAACAAATATTTTTATCTTCATTTTTTTTTTTCTATATTTCTCTATTCCAAAGTAAGGATAAGTGTTTTCACACAACTTTGGTGTAACCACTGCAGGCTCACAAGACTCTCAGCCCACTGATACAAGATCAGCCTTTCCATTGTGCTTGTCTCAGATTACCTCAGGATCCCCTGAAGAGGTTCATTGAAAAGTTCAATCCCTGGACTCCACTCTGGACCTACTGACTATGAATCCCTTGGTGAGATTCAGAGAAATCTGCATTTTAACAGGCTCCTGGGGCAATTTTTAACTGTACTAATAATTGAAAATTACTCAACCTAGGGCCACTCAGAATTAAAGAATACAAGAATCAAATATGTCTAGATGAGATATGTATTTCACATCTCAGGATGTAAAGTCAAAGAGTTTATTGATTTGTCCAAGATCAGCTAACTGTTGGCTGGGCCATTAGGTATTCAGACATCCAGTCTAATCCACTTAGGACAACAAAACATGAATGCCTCTCTACTATGCATTTAGGGAATTTTGATTCCTTTTGAATAACGGAGGAATGCTTCCTCACTTCTGGGCTCCTCCTGAACCTTGGCTGGCTGGTTCTCCCTGACACCGAAAACCCAATACATGTAATAAGAACTCACTGAAGAGAAAGAAACTCATTTGGTCTAGACTTGGGCTACTGGGCTCACCACTTTCAGACCAGTTTTCAGGCCTTTTCAGACCTTACCATTGCTGCTGAGTATATAATTAAAGATAACTGTTTCTCTGATGCCTTCAATCAGAAATGATAGCATTCTCTTTTTCCTGTCTATCATGACTAGGCAGCATGACAATAAAGCGTTCCAATTAATTTTTCATCAATTAAATAATTCTGTTGGATCTGATATTTCAGTAAGGATATAACTTTCTATCAAAGACAAAAAAAGAAGAAGAAGAAGGTAGCGGGAGGGGAAGAATGAAGCGGGGGAAATCGGAGGGGTAGACGAACCATGAGAGACGATGGACTCTGAAAAACAAACAGGGTTCTGGAGGGGAGGGAGGTGGGAGGATGGGTTAGCCTGGTGGTGGGTATTGAGGAGGGCACATTCTGCATGGAGCACTGGGTGTTATGCACAAACAATGAATCATGGAATACTTCATCTAAAACTAATGATGTAATGTATGGGGATTAACATAAGAATAAAAAAAAATAAATTAAAAAAAAAAGACAAAAATAGATTGTTAGTTATAAATAACTTCATATTTTGCATTTAAACCTGACATTCAGTTTATTGAAAATGGTAACATTTTCAGCTATCAAAATATTACTAATCTGTAATTCTGATAAACAGATGGAGATGATTTCAGCTTGAAAGAGAGTCAGCATATGAAACATAGATCAACAAAAATTTATTTAAAATTCTTAAAGCTTGGTGAGTTCTAAATGTCCATCTGAAATTCAGTGCATTTTGGAGTGGAACTTTATTTTATCCCAATTCATGGTAATAAGCCTACAGTTATAATTAATTTTGGATCAGGGCTGCTGGACTTCCCAAATAGCTACTATTTATTAGATCTGGACTTCACACCTTATCACCAAAGCCAATGGATTTCCTTATGTGAAAGAATCATGTAAATGTGTAGTATACTAGTAGCCTTGAATATGAACTTCGACCATACTCTCAAAAGGGTTATAGGCTATGGTTTTGCCCAGGATATAAAAGGTACATTTAAGCAGGTATAATATACCCTGCTGATTAATCTTAATCTTACAAATTTCAGAGTGGGCCATATATTCTAAGAATACATGGAATGTCATTCGACAATTGTGGGTTTTCTGATCCTCTCTTTTCAATCTTAAAATCTTGGACTAAATTAAGACTTACAACTAAATCAGACTAACAGAATGCTTTATATGGTCCTCTGAGGATTACAGTGGAGTTGCACCTTACTTGAGGGCTAGATATGGAGGTGAGTAAGTAGGTAAAAATCACACTGGGTCAAAATATGTTTGAAATTCCCTTAGTACAGCTCTTTCAGGAGCCTGCCACTCTTTTAATAAAACTACTTCTTCCTCCAGTGGCAGTATGGACTGTTGGATTTTGGCTGATTGTAGATGAAGTTGTTGGCTTTATTTTAGGATCATGTGGTATGAAAAATATCTGTTGTTTCCTTAAACCCTAAAGTTACACTCAATCCTGCAAACATGCCTATGTGTTTAGGGGTACATCAAAATAAAACTGAAGGAGATAGGTATATTCAAGTCTCCTTGGTGCTCCTATTCAGAAGCGTAAGATTACTGATTGGGGAAAGGTTGGATTGGCTGCATTATTTAAATTTGTTCTCTCCATTTCTCTCTCCTCCCAAACTTAGGTAGTTTAATTTCTGTAAGCTAAATGAGCATATGATGAGTACATTCTATTTTCAGAAAAAATTAGCTGTGCCCATATAAAAAGAATTTTTCATCCTTAATTAATTTAGGTTGATAATACATTTTCCATCATTAATGAATTATTGGCCACTATCTCTGACTTTATATACTTTAAGATTTTTGAAATATACTACACACGATACTTTTTTTTCTATTTTTCTTTTTGTTACTGCAAAGAAATTCAGTTCATTCAGTGGAAAAATAACAGCCAGTGCCATAGTATGTTCAAGGAAATGTAATAGAAATAACAGGTCAAAACAAATATAGAACAGTTATTCAAAAACACTTTTCCCTCATCTCATGTATCTTCTTAAGTAAATATGTGATACTAGTATTCAGTAGTTACATGTCTTTACCATTAGTAGGGATTTACCTATTCTGTTTATTCTTTTGATGAGTAGAATCATGGAAAGTATTTATTTCCAAATTTTTACCTGTAGTCCTATGACTTTGATCAGGGCTAAGTAAGTAAAATGAGGAAAATTCTTTAAAACTGAGACACCAGGAGACTAACTCCCCAGTATTCAACCTGCTTAATTATAAATATTGACATTTTATGCTAAACATCAGCTTAGTCCTTACTATAGCCATAGGGTTAATACTGACAAAGTCAATGGATGGGAACAGCTAAAGTGACCAATTAGAATTCTCATGAAAGTGCAAATTTCTGGCCTTGATCATTTGCATGTATCAGTCCAACTGTATGTGTTGGATTGCTGTATTAGTCTAGGCATGATGTTAGGTGCTGTGGAAGACACTAAAATGAGTAAGGCTACATTTCTGCCCTTGAATTTATGTTCTCTCATTTCTCCTTTGTTGATTCTTCCTTTTGTCTTCAACTCCATGTGGCAAAAATTCAAATTATACACAAGAGTACATAATAAAAAGTAATACTCATCCTCATGCCTGTCTCCAGAGGCAAATATTGTCCTCAATCTCTTAATGTGTTTTTTCAGAGGTATTCTGTCTATACAGACATGTATGCAAATGTATTTTAAAATAATTTTATATAGGGGCGCCTGGGTGGCTCAGTCGTTAAGCGTCTGCCTTCAGCTCAGGTCATGGTCCCAGGGTCCTGGGATCGAGCCCCGCATCGGGCTCCCTGTTTGGTGGGAAGCCTGCTTCTCCCTCTCCCACTCCCCCTGCTTGTGCTCCCTCTCTCGCTATGTCTCTGTCTGTCAAATAAATAAATAAAATCTTAAAAAAAATAATTTTATATAATGAAAAATTAGCATCATACCTCATTATGCCATGCCATTATCTAGCTCTTGGAATCTCTTCTATTTTCAATTTACACTTTCTGCATAGCTGATCTTACTCAGCCCTATGAATTTAAATACTATCTATATGATAATGACTCTCCAATCTGAATGTCCAGCCACAACCTCTTCCCAAAATTTCTGGCTTATATATTCCCACCTACTCAACATTTCCATTTGAAGTCTGATAGACATCTCAAACTGCACTTGTCCCCAACCAAGCTCTTTATTTCCCCCCACCCCAGACTCTATTTCTTGTGCCATCCTACCTATCTCAAAAAATGAATGCCAGGATCCACCAAATTACTCAAATAAAAATCTAGAAAGCAGCCTTGATTCTTCTACACCATACAGGAGGCTCAAACTCATGACCCTGAGATCAAGAGTCACATGCTCTACCCACTGAGCCAGCTAGGCATCCCCAGAATTTTATTTTTAACATATAATGAAATATTTTTAACACATCACTCCTCTGCTTAAGTTCTAGAATCTAGAGGCTTCCCTTCACCCTGAGAATAAATAAAACTGTTCCTGGCTTACAAAGCCTTCCATGTCTTGGTGCTTTGCAAATTGCCTGACTTCATTTGATACCATTCTCTCTTCACGCTCAACCCTCAATGCTCCCAACTCACTGCACTTCTTCCTTTCGTCATCAGATCAGGCTTGAACCCACTGTAGGGCCACTGCACTTGCCAGTTCCTTTGAAATACTCTTTGCCTTCACCTTGGTAGATGTAGCTGGTTCTCAATCATTCAGCTCTAAGTGTCTCTTCCTCCAAGAAACCTTTCTTGGCCACCCAGTCCAGAGCAACCACTGGCTTTTTCAAACTCAACAGATCACTCATCATCAACTGACTTTTTAATTAATTATTAATTTAATTAATTATTGATTTTTTGTTTTCCAGCTTAATAAGCTAAACTCTAAGCTCCATGAAAGCTTTGGCTTTAATACCTGATTATTGTTTGAACTACCTCAGTCTTTATACTAGTGCTTGCTATTTAGATTAGCGTAGAAAGCATTCGATACATTTTTAAGTACATGAATGAGTGAATGAATATTTTAAGAGCCTATATATATACACTTATATACACACATGTACCACACACACACACGTATAATATATATATATATATATATATTTTTTTTTTTTTAGAGAGAGAGAGAGTGAGCATAAGCAGGGGGTGGGGGCCGGGAGGAGGGGCAGAGGGAGAGGGAGAGAAAAAGTCCTAAGCAGGCTCCACACTCAGTGTGGAGCCAGATGCAGGGCTTGATCTCAAGACACTGAGATCATGACCTGAGCTGAAATCAAGAGATGGATGCTTAACTGACTGAGCCACCCAGTGCCCAGAGCCAAAATATATTTTCAATTAAAAAATAGACTTTCAGATGATGAAGGCTAATGAAACCAAGGTCCCTTCAAAGGAGGCTAGGTTGCTTAGCATGTTACCAACAAATAAACTCTTGTTATTCTTATCGGTTTTGCTATATTTTCCCTTATAATGTTCTGTTTATTTCTTTTGCCATAGCACTCATCACTGCCAACTCTATTTTCTGCATACCTATTTGCTTAAATTCTTTCTCTTTATGCTAAAAATGTAAGCTCCATGAGGAAGTTTGTTTACCACTGAATTCATAATCTAGGACAGTAACTTGAACACAAAGACACTCAGAAATTTTTGTCAAAGGAGTGAAAATAGGAGGTCTGGTTGAAAGTGGTTGATTCAGGTCCTCTCAATTTTCAGTGAAGAAACAAAAACATTCTTACCTACAAGTAATGGGCCACCCATTGTAAGTAAACATTTTTGATCATGGATCTCATTAAATGTTCTATAACTCAAATTCCTTTAGACCTTGGATAAGCCATTACAAACATTTTGCCTTAGTTTTTGCTTCCTGAAAAATAGGAATTAAAGGAAATAAACAAGCCAATTAAAATTATCTTATCTTTTTAGAGCAAGCCCAACTTGAGAGTTCAGTAATCACCACCAACTGATTATCATTCAGGGGTAAATGAGCACAAAGGAGAGAGTAAAAAGAATGGAAGAAAAAAATCTGAGAGGCAATTTTTGTGCTGCTTAGGATAAGACTTCTCTTGTTTTATTGAACTTGTTAATAAAAGCTCTAAAGTCTGGGGAAATGCTTCCGGGCAGCAAAAGCAAAATTTTGAAGCACACAGGTCTAAGGAGAAATTAATAAAATGCAGTGGGGAAATTAAATTGAACAAAAGTGCAATGAGCCATAGTTAAACCAATTAATTAAGCAGGTTTTGATATGTATATAACTGAGTTGCTGAAGAATGTTAATCTCCAGTGTTTAAACCAGTGTTTGGTATTCAGCAAAACACCAAATGGTAACATGCTGAAAACTTGTAGTTTTTAAAGTAGTGTTCTTTGATGAATTCCTTCCTTATTCATAGGCATCACCACTTTCCCTTTTTCAATTAATCTTTTTAAAACAATGATGCTTTCAATAATACACAAAAGTCTTATGCTTTGTTCGATTCTCTTCTGCATTCTTTTTATGCCAATTTCAAAACCATGCAATTTTCTTGCAGCCTCAATTACAAAAATATTTATTTTTCAGTAGTATGTCTACTACTTTTCAGGAAATGACAAAGATTAACTTGCTTAGTGCATCTGCAGCCTGGCAGGTGTGAGGCAGGACGGGTGAGGTGTCAAGACCACAGGCCGGGAGTCACATAGATCTAGTTTCAGTCCAAACTTATTCCTTAAGAGCTATAAGATCCTGCACAAACAATCTGGCTCCTGTAAGCCTCAAATGCCCCCACTGTAAAAATTTTGCACAAGCTAAATATATTTGAAAATTCCTTGGCACAATGTCTGGCAGAGAAATCTCTCAATAACATGGAAGTATTAATATAATGCCATTTGCAACAATGCAAAATGGCTTGTTTTGGAACTTCAAACATAATTTTAAACACACATATATAATATACATGTATATTATGTGTATATGTATTATTACATGTATTATGTCATGTAATAATAATATGTATTATTACACATTACATTATACATACATATGTATGTATACTATATGTATAATATAATATATATAATATATAATATATAAACATGTGTATATTTTCACCAAAAATATTTTTTAAAATAATGAAGTTGTTGGTGGAAGATATGTTTCTAGACTAGTGTCCCAAACCTTCATTTACAACGATACTATTTCAGTTGAGAATTATCCTCATGGTAATCTGCCTGGTGTGGCTAACTTTCCTGGTTTTCCTTTGACTCTCCTAGCTTCAGCACTGAAAGTCTCTCATCCTCAGAAACCCTTAGTTCCCAGACAAATCTAATCATGATTCCTTCATTTGGAACCTAATGCTCATTCATTCATTCATTCATTCATTTATTCATCTGTTTTTCTGTAGTACCAGGTACATTCTTAGGTTCTGGAGATATAAAGACCAATCACCCTCAATAAAGCCACAGCCTAGCAAAGGAGACAAACAAATGAGCAAGTGTCCATAAGACCTATGGTGACTGCTGATGATGGAGTTTTGCCAAGGATGTCCGAGAAACACCGGGACTGGGCACCTCACATAGACTTGTGGTTTAGGGAGACTTCTCAAAGGAGGTGAGCACTGAACTGGAACTTGAATTAGGTGCACACCTCAAGCCAGAGCCTTCTACTTCATTCTTTTGGGAGTTTTTCATGGGTGAGCTCTGTATTACTTAACTAAACATATTGAAATGGCATCTCCTGAGATGTATTTTGGCTGTCATCTAAACCGATTTTGAATAACTTCCAATGTGCATGTAATCTTTATGGAATGTCAACAATATATGAATATAAACGTCTACAAACTCTTAATTGTATAGCAGTTCTTTCCACTCTGGAGATACAGGAAAGTTAAAATCTATTTTTAAGAATGTTAATCTCCTGCTTGCTTTTTCGTTATTTGACATTCATGGCACAAAGGAAATTACGGGAACAGGTTGCACTGAAAACAAAACAGAGGTTATAATAAATAATGTTGTTCTAACCATAATACTGTACTGGTTGCCCCAAAGTTAGCAAGTCAAACATGTTTCCGACAGCTTATTATCAAGGACTTGGCATTCTATTCTTTTTACTTCAATAATGTTTCAAGTATTCCTGACCATGCCTCTATCATTACAGCAAATGCTGCAGCAAGATGGTAAGACAGAGGCTGGTCCACAACAGGAAGCTCTGATGCAACATGAACACATGAAGAGCCTGAAGATTCGGTTCTTCACCTGCGGGGAGAACTTTTCATAGACTGAAGGTGGAAGGGGACTTATTCCCAGACAGACTGTAAACTCTATGGGCGAGGGAGGGTGGGGGGGTGGGACAGGCACCACATCTGTATTATTTGCTGCTGCTTTCCCACTGCTTGGGATATAACTGATGCACAAAATGATTGAGTGAATAACAAAACACAGTTGAGTCTTCGCTCCATATTTCCAACAAATGATCATTCATTCTATGAAAAACTCTAGGGACTAAAAACTCTTTGCGATTCATGAAAAATCGGACTACACATTCTATTTCTGTAGAGGTTGGTTAGTGTCACTTTATTCCCTAACTTTAACCACATCTCTAACCTTCACCAGTAACCTTTGAGATATTCACTGGAATTTACTAAGAATGTGCATGTGACCATGCATACACCGTCCTTGTTAGAGTAATGATATGTCATGCCATGTTTTCTGAAGAATATGGGCCAAGAGCATTAATTTATAGACCTATCAATCACAATCACCATCTAGTTTAAGCTCCATAGACATAATAAATGTATATCAGATAATTATTTTATTGACGCTGAAGGTTTTTGGTAATTTTGAGTGATCAAAGGAAAATACTAAAATTCCCTAAAATCCTGAGCATTTTTTTGCCTTTTGGTCATGGGTTTTGTTTTTTTTTACATGTATACATCTGTTCATATATACGATTATGACACACCTGACATCTAAAATTCAATGGAAGAGTTATAAGCAACAAGTCTTTGTAAAAATTTTAAACTTTCTGTATTACTCTTTTTTACCTTTGAAGTTTACTACACCAACTGCAGTTGAAGCCAATCTGAGAGGATACACAGGGGCCACAACCATTAAACTGGAGGCATGCTAGGAAACAGGACAGAATAGGTTTATCAAGACTAATTGGCAGCATGGAGAGAAATTAAAAAAAAAATACTGCTCAACCAAAATTAAAATCACCCTCCTACCCCCATATACACACAGGAGCAAAATACTTATGCATAAACAGATCAGATCATTAAACTTTCCACCTAGCCCTGTTCACATGGTAACTTACTAGGTAATGGGGTCATCTCCACAGCTGAAATATTGGTAATTTTTGACATTTGTAGCTCTACTCGGTGGTATTCATAAATTGTTCTTCTTCGAACATCTGTAAAAACAAAAATAGAAAAAAATAATCTTTCAAGATGTCTTCGCCTGTAAAACAACATCTGATAATGAATGTAGAAATGATTTACTTTTTACCCAAGCTGGTTTTAAAATGAAGATTTAAAATAATCAATCCCTGTGAAGAGATTGATTATAAGAAAAAACCTGAAAATCACGTACTGATATACTCAGAAGTCTTTTTTTTTTTTTTACTTTTTTTAAAAAAGCTTTTATTTATTTATTTGAGAGAGAGAAAGAACACAAGCAGGGGGAGAGCAGAGGGAGAGGGAGAAGCAGGGGAGCCCGATACAGGGCTCGATCCCAGGACCCTGAGATCATGACCTGAGCCACCCAGTCACCCCTCCACTGTGTTTACTTTTGAAAGCAGTCTTGGGGATCTTATATTTTATGAAGTCCTCATGTATATGATTAAATTGCTCCAGAATTCTTTTTTTTTTTTAAAGATTTTATTTATTTATTTGAGAGAGAGAGAATGAGAGAGAGAGAACACATGAGAGGGGATAGGGTCAGAGGACGAAGCAGACTCCCTGCCAAGCAGGGAGCCCGATGCGGGACTTGATCCCGGGACTCCAGGATCATGACCTGAGCTGAAGGCAGTCGCTTAACCAACTGAGCCACCCAGGCGCCCGAAGTCTTTTTTTAATCAATTAAGTTGAAATGTTGATTATAGTCCCAGATACCTCACTTCACTAGCAGGGGCTCCAACCCATTGTTCCCTATGATATACTGAAGACATATTCTTAATAGATTTATGTATTTTGAAAGATTCTGACATAAAAATCAAGAAGGTAAGATGACACCACTTTTTAAAACTAAAGCTAAAGTGAGTCCTTTAGGAATGGGTAGCAGTTAAAAATTTTTCACAGCCTAAAAAAATAAATAAATAAAAATCACAGCCCAAATAAAGTTATTTTGCCAGAAGATGAGTCTGAGTGCTTCAAAGGTTTAGAATGAAATTTCTTTAATAGAAGAAAAACAGAACTTAAATCACCTTAAAAATTTAGTACTGGTATTTATTAAATATACAGTATCATGTCTGAGGAAGGTTAATAATTAGTACTTATATTGCATGAACAAATTTATAATCGTTCATCAGCAAATCCAACAGTATCCCTGAGGAAGAGGCTAGATGGGAGACTTTGACATGAACTTTAATAATTAAATATCAGATAAACATGGCAAAAACATTTTATTACAGTCAAGACTGTTGATGAAATATATTTAAACTCTATTAAAAAAAGACCTGAGCTTTATGCTAATGAGCTTGCCTGAAGTTTGGTAAATGGAATTGGAAAAGTAATGTTATCAGCATTTTATTTAGCTCTGAAAATGCCTGTGATGACAGGAAAGCATTTCCTGAATACTATCATATCTATCAGGAATTATTTGGAAAGCTATAATTTTATTGAAAAAAATATATTGGTATCCAGTCTTGGGAAGTCGAATGTCATAGTGGTTGGTAGTACATGCTCTTGAACAGTCTTGTGTGGCTCACATGCCAATGTCGCTTCTTAGTATCTGTGTGACCCTGGGCTCCTTTGTTAGCCTCTCTGTATCTCTGTTCCCTCATCCATAAAATAGAGATAATAGTACCTATACCACTGAGTTGTTTCGACAACTAAAATGAGATAATAAGTGCAAATTGGTTAGAACAATCCCTTTCACACTGCAAGTACTCAATACATGTCCAACATGCTAACTATACATCACACTGGTTACATGCTGCATGTAATGGTCTATTTCCATAGACCTAAACGCACTGGAGTCACACTAAGACTCTGAAATCAGGCTTCCAGGAATTTGTCTCCCACCTTAGCTTTAAGAAACTTAAATTTTGACTAAGGTCAATTGACCCAACTGTGATCACCTCTAAGACATAAAGCAGGAATATGGTGTTGAGGAGATAGCGAGCTGTCTCTTATTAAAAGTTTCAGGAAATGTAAATATAGCTACACATCCAGGAGCAAAGTCAAACATCCACTTATTACCTACACATATCTCTACTTTTATCCACTCATATCCTTTCACTTATTTCTGATGATTCACCATGAAATTCTGCTCTGGAAGAGGAAGGGGGGCGGCCTCAAATGAACTCTTTTGGGGCTTGGAGAGGTTCTAGAGCCATTTGCGGAATGTATCTTCAGGTTTATCAGACTGGAAAACACTGCTTAAGAACCATAATCTAATTCATTTCTTTTTGGTATAAGGGAAAGATGCATATATAATTTTCAAGGTATAAACTTTATCAAACATTAGAGAAAATACTAATTTTAGGGTATTTATAAGGTTTCTTGAGGCACATTTTTTTTTTTAAGTTTTAAGGCACATAAAAGGATTATCCAGCTTCTGCTTTGTCTAAATAATATACCTTCCTATATACTGCTTTCTCGTGTATTTTTTTTTTAAAGATTTTATTTATTCATTTGACAGAGAGAGACACAGCTAGAGAGGGAACACAAGCAGGGGGAGTGGGAGAGGGAGAAGCAGGCCTCCCGCTGAGCAGGGAGCCCGATGTGGGGCTTGATCCCAGAATCCTGGGATCATGACCTGAGCCGAAGGCAGACGCTTAACGACTGAGCCACCCAGGCGCCCCTGCTTTCTCGTGTATTTTACTAAATAAGTTCGTTCTTGGAAATGAATAAATAGCATTAAATAACATCGCTTTGCCATGAGATCACAGGGTTGGGGGTTTTTGAGTCTCCTTCATACTCAAGTTTGCTCTATCATATTTGTAGGTGCTTAAAATACTAGTTTTCTCTTCATTTCATACTATACTTTGAAAATCTCAAACTACTGACATATTGGCTATGGAGCCTCTGGAAGTTAATTATTAATTATGCACATGGGGTTAAGGGAAAGTGACCTTTTTTGCTCTGCTAGTTCTATCACCTGCTCAGACCCCTCCAACTATGGGGATGAAATGAGTTCAACAAAACTAAGATTAATGAGAATGATTTTTGTTTGATGACCTGCCAATTAATGACAGCTTCCAAACGGTCATTTTTGTTGTATTTCAGAGATACCCCGGTCAGAAACAAGTAATTAGGAATGTATTTACTGGTAGCTCCTGCCAATACTAGAAGCTTTCATTTGATTCCAGAAATGTATTTAGCTCATGTGTCTTCTTTAGAAAGTCAGCCAAAATAATGCTGTACCAAAAATTCAGTCTTAGTAGTGCTGATACAGCTTTAACTGTTTTCCTACAACTTTACAAAACCAAGTTTGACTATCATAACCATTAGGGGCTTTTAAAAATTAAAAAAAAAAAAGAAACTAAATCTCTGAGCAGACTAACATGTAGAGAATAAAGTTTAGTATCCAAAATCTTAAGGTGATATGATTCAAAGTGTGACTAATGAATTGCATTTTTTAGAAATTCTGAGCAATATTAACAGGCGGGAACAGAGTGATCATATGGAAACACCAGGAATCCTGTCCAATCAATATTCACTCTGGCCGAAATGAACACAGTTTAATGAATACCCTGTGGCATGATTAGCCCATGATCTAGTTTATTTGCTTGTTTTTAAAGCTAACATTCACATAGAGAATGTATGAGTAATTTCCTAAATTGGCAGATTCTTCCATTTATATAAATATTTTAATATTGCCTGAACTGTCAAGTAAATGATTTCCTAGCATGGCGTTACTTATGCATTGCCAATGCTTCATGACTGGTCCCAAGTGGTTATTTCTTTTCGAGTTCCAGTTGAGCCCACCACACAGCACCATTCACTGAGAACTCTTTAATGTAAAGAGCATGTACTGCACAACAAGTTCATTCCCGTCATGAAGACTCGGGAAAAAAAAGAGACTCTTGAGAAAAAAAAAAGAGAGAGAGAGAGACACCATTACAGCAGTGAATTAGAAAAATGTACTCCACTAAGCGAAATAACTGGTTGGTGTTGTTAAATCAAGCATCTACAAATGGAAGATGCTTTTGCTTCAAACATTTCTTTATTCCTTCTGTAGTTCTAATTCTATTAAACAAAAATGTAATTCATTTTGGCTAAGGCAACATAAAATTTAGAGGGCCATGAAGTACTAAGCTGAGCCTCTTCGATTTTCTTCTCATCATTCCCTCACTGCTTATGAAGTTTCAGGCCACTATTAAGACCCAAATGGGCAGATTCCATAAGTTACTTGAGCAAACATAAAGAAAATCAGGAACTTCATCTAAAACCAATCTTTACTTTTCTCCTCCTTCCACGTATATTTACTAAGGGCTTAAACAAGATGCATGTTCTGACTTCTTTAAGTAGTCTTTGCCCAAGAGGAGAACCAGAACGAACACTGGGACAGTAAATGGTCAAGCAGTATCTGAGTGGGCTGGTGCGACATGTGGATGGCAGGCCTAACATCATGGTTCCCATTGACCTAGGAACTGTTCCTCTGAACGTGGTGCTTCCCCCAGGGGAACACACCTCTTTATTCCTGAGACTTATGGGGAGATTTTGTAATGTACATTGGCAATGTCATTAAGTCTCTCTCTCTCTGTTTTTTGTTTTTTTTTTCTGGGAGAAAAGAAGATTGTGACTTTCTTAAATCAAATTGGGTGAAATGCAGTAAGATTTCCTTATTTTAAAATCAAGTTTTTAAAAAGCTTTTAGTGCTAAATCATGCAGATGTTTGGCACTTGTGTAAGAAAAATCCCCTACATTTCCAAGAAACTAAACTTCCTATAAAAAAATCCAACTGGAAAAATTAACATGTGGGCATGTTTATAAAGGTATCCAACCAGTGTTAGTTAAAAATAGAAATATTCTCTGTGTAGTAGGGAAGTGTAAGTTAAATAGAAATAATCATTATGTAATAGGGAAAAATAAGAAATAATTAAGGCAAAGGAAAGTATAAATTTGAAGGCAAACATGAGAGAGAAAAGTGAAAAATTGAATCTGAGGTCATAATTTAAAATTAAAAAGACCTTGATAGAAAAGTTAGATTTTTCTATTTAGATTATTTTTGAAGACAATTTTGACT